GAGACCTAGTAGTCTTAACTAGCTGATAAACTGACTAATGACATAGCATGGTGGTGGATTACCTTGGGGTGAGGAGCTAGTTGTTTGTTGTGCTCTGGCTCAGAGTTACAGTTAGCTTAGCCATCAATGTTATCAGAGACCGGAGAAGGATATATTCCAATGTCAATAGCCAAGGTATCAATTAAAATGACAGAGTAGTCCATGGTCTACTACCTAGACAGGTTCCTGTGGTCTCCATGGCACCCAGGGCAGAGGCAGTCTTTAGCCACCAGACTCAGAAGCAAGAGGTATCAGATCCCCTGGAGATGTAGTTAGAGGCTGTTGTGAGATCCTGACATGGGTGCTGGGTATCAAACTCTGGGTTCTCCAGAAGAGCACTACAGACTCAACCACTGGGTCATCTCTCTAGCTCTGGCCCAAGATTTTACAAATATGCAACATTTTGTAATCTCATAGTACTCATAAGACTGAGGCAGGAGGATTGCCACAGATTTGAAGGCAGCTTGGGCTACCAGGCCAACCTGGGCTACAGTGTAACACACACATAACATCTCTAAAAACAAGCAACAAACAAACAGACAGACAAACATCAAGTGCTGGACAGTGACGGTGTACATCTTTACTCCCAGCACTAAGGAACCAAATGCAGGCAGATCTCTGAGATCAAGGCCAGCTTTGTGGAGACAGAATGAGAATGAGAGTGCTAGTTCCAGGACAGCCAAGTCTATACATAGAAATGCTGTCATGGGTTGGGGAACACCACTACCAACAATAAAAATCTTGGGGTGATCTTTTTGTGCACTGTGTAAAGGCTGTCATTGTATTATTCAAATGCTGGTTTCTGTGCTGGCAGAGAGTTGAATGCAGCAGACTGGACTTTGGATATTGTCATTCATTTGGCTACATTGTATTTTGTAAACACTCCCTCTCTCAGCTTCTGATTGGTTTAATAACCAATAAGGCACGCCTTTAATTCCAGTACTTGGGAGGCAGAGGCAGGCAGATTTCTGAGTTCCAGGCCAGCCTGGTCTACACAGTTAGTTCCAGGACAGCCAGGACTAGGAGGCAAGAATAGGTGGGACTTCCGGGAGAGATAAGAACTCTGGGAAAGAGTCAGGAATGGCAGAATTTGCCAGTCTGGGATTGGAGGAGAGGTAAGTAATAAGCCACAAGGTAGAACGTAGATTATTATAAATGGGTTAATAAGTTATAACAGCAAGACAGGAACAAGAGTAAGCAAAGTCCTAAAGCTGTAATTAATAAATATAAGTCTACGTATCTTTATTCAGAGTCAGGCAGCCACAGAAAAGTCCCTATGGTTATAAAAAACAAAAATAAACAATAAAAAGAAAAAACCAGCAAGCACTGTGATCAGAGCCACCATGTGTCCCAAGTAGCTGGAGCGTGGAGAGAACACTCAATCTGCCCGTGATGGTCAGGATGATTGACAGTTTAGCAGAAGCTTGACAGAGAATGGCGGATCTAGGTGAGTGAGGAGGATGGAGCACCTGGTCTTCCCTGCCTGTCTGGAAGCCCCTTGGAGGAGAGGTGTTTGCTCTTGTGCTGGTCTGGAGGCACCAGCACAAGGTCAGGTGTGGTGGCACATATCTGGAGATTCCAGCACTTGAGGTAAGCAGGGAAGTTCACCGGCCATTGAGGCTGGTGAAATGGCTCACCAAGGTAAGTTGCCTGTCACCAAACATGGCAGCCTGAGTTCAGTTCCTGGAACTCACGTGGTGGATGGCGAACACAGACTTCCACAGGTTGTCCCTTGATTTCTACATGCTTGTCATGCACAACACACACAAATTAGTGAAAATGTAATTAACAAGTTTTACAAGAGTTCTAGGCCAGCCTGTGCTACCTAGTGAGACCCATAAAGCAAACAGAAAATAAAGAAGGGAGGAAGGGAAAGAGGGAAGAAGGAAGGGAGACTGGAAAAGAAGGAAGCATGCATTTCAGGTGGCCAGAGAGAGAGACTGAGACCTTACCATGCAAAAGGACACTGTAGCACAGAGCCTAAGAAAAATAAAGGCTGACCAGTGTCCACAGCCTCAGGACTGCCAGCTTTCTCCAGGGAACAGGACAAATAGTTAAAAGTAACAGAGAATTCTTTTGCCCCTGAAGTCTGAGACATCTGGGTTAAAAATGTGTGTGTGTGTGTGTGTGTGTGTGTGTGTGTGTGTGTGTGTGTGTTCCAAGGTCTCAGGTTGCTTAGTCAAGCCTCAAACTCCAAATTTTGCAAAGATAACCTTGAACTTCTTCTGATTCGTCCACCTGCCACAGTGCCAGTTTATGCAATGCTGGGTGCCAACTCAACTCAGGGATTTGTGCATTCCAGGCGGGGATTCCACCAAAGTAAGCTCAACTCCTCTGCTGCCTTTTGGGGGGAGACAATAATCTCACTGTGGAGCTCAGGCTAGATTTGAACACATGACCGTCATTCAGCCTCCTGAGAGCTGGGGCTACACGCATGTGGCACCAGGTGCTCCTTATTCAGAAAAGGAGAATGTGTCCTTTTTCGAATGGTTGATAGGAAATAAATGTGTGGTCTAATCCAGAAGTCACCTGCCCCAGCAGGTCCTGTCCTGGGAAACCCTCGGGAGCCAGGCTCCTTGGGTTTGGCAGAAAGAGGAGGAAGTCGATGGAGGAGGAGGTGGAAGGACAATGGAGGAGAAGCACGTGGCCTGGAAAAACCGCAAGTTATAAGGGATCTCATAGCTGGGGAATAGAGTAGTGTAGTGGTAAATCTGCGCAATCCAGGCGTGCAGCTTATATCCATAATTATTGAGCTGTGTTTTCCTTGACTGGTCTTATTTGGGTCGGAGATTTCCCTATCTCAGCGACCAGTTTCTCCATTACTATTTAGTTCATTCCTGGGTTACTTAACCTGTTGGGCTTTTGTTTTGTTTTCTCACCATAAAAAAGAGGTAACAATAGTGCTCCTATTATAGAGCTGACAGAAGGGTGATGTTTGTATCTGCTTGGCCCAGGAAGTGGCACTATTAGGTGTGGCCCTGTTGGAGTAGGTGTGTCACTGTGGGCATGGGCTTTAAGACCCTCATGCTAGCTGCCTGGAAATAAGTATTCTGCTAGCAGCCTTCAGATGAAGATGTAGAACTCTCAGCTCCTCCTGCACCATGCCTGCCTAGATGTCATCATGATCCCGCCTTGAAGATAATGGACCGAACCTCAGAACCTTTAAGCCAGCCCAATTAAATGTTGTCCTTATAAGAGTTGCCTTGGCCATGGTGTCTGTTCACAGCAGTAAAACCCTAACTAAGACAGAAGTGGAAAACAAGATGGACTTCCTCTCTGTTTATCCCCATGTGCTCCAAAAAAGTACTGACAAAGGGCCTGGGGGCAGGTTGGGACATAATTGTGAAGAGAATCGCAGCCATAATGATAGGCCATGGTGAAAATTGAAACTAGTACTTTGTACATGTTAGGCAAGCACTGGATTGAGTTACCTCCCAAAGCCCCGTGGGTCTCCTTGCTGCTAAAATGGGTCACACTGTTGTGGCTCAGAGAATTACAGCTACTGTTCTGTTACCACGGACACCCTTCTCTCAGATCCTCTGGGAGGCAGCCTTCTCCTCATTCAGTTCTTTGGTCACACACCTTCTCAAAAGCTGCATGTGGTAGCCGACCCTGTAATCAGAGCCACCAGAGAATTGAGACCAGAGGATTGAGAATTTTGAGGCCAGGTGTGTTACACAGAGAGTTCTAGGCCAGCCTGGACTCAGAACAAGATGGTCTTGAAAGAAAGAAAAAAAGAAAGAGAGAAAGAGAGAGAGAAGGAAGAAGGAGGGAGAGGGAAGGAGGGAGGAAGAAAGAAAGAATGAAAGAAAGAAAGAAAGGAAGGAAGGAAGAAAGAAAGGAAGGAAGAAAGAAAAGTTGTACTTGGTAGCACTCATCTATATTTCCAGCACTTGGGAGGTCGAGGCAGGAAGATCAATCAGGTTGTCCTCAGCCATATGGCAAGTTCAAGGCCAGCCCACTACAAAATTCCCTAACCTAAAATAAAAACAAAAAAAACAGGGACTAGAGAGATGGTTCAGTGGATAAAGGTACTTACTGCCAAGCCTGATGACCTGACTGTACCTTCAGAAAGCAAATGGTTGAAGGGAGGACCAACTCTTGCAACTTGTCATGACACCCATGGATAAGCCACAGCTCAAATGTGCACACGTGTGCACACACACACTGAGAAATAAATGAATGTAAGAAATAAAGAACATCTTTCAGCTCCGGCTTTCCATATCTCTCAGCATCAAGCAGCCTCTCTCTGCCCGGCTCTCCTTCCTCATCCTACACAGATATATACTATGTCACAACCTATAATGATTTGGTTGCTACTACTATTATGGTTGTCTTCCTGTCTCCTGAATGGAATGTGACTTGTGTAGGGGGTGAGGAACTTGTCATTTGCTCATTACAGTGGTATCACAAGACCTACATCAGTATTTGAGACATTACAGATGCTAAATAATTATCCACCGAGTGACTCAAGGAATGAACTAAAGTCAGGTGAAAGCCAGATGGGGCGTCACATGCCTGTAATTATTTAATCGAATATTTGGGAGGTGGAAGCATAAGAATCAGGAGTTAGAGCTGGGCGGTGGTGGCGCACGCCTTTAATCCCAGCACTTGGGAGGCAGAGGCAGGTGGATCTCTGAGTTCGAGAGTTCAAGGCTAGCCTGGTCTACAGAGTGAGTTCCAGGACAGCTAAGGCTACACAGAGGAACCCTGCCTCAAAAAACCAAAACAAACAAACAAACAAACAAAAAAGGCCAGCTTAGAAGCCAGGCTGGAGTACATGAGAATTTCTAAACAAACAAAAAAAGAAGTCAGGTTACTAAGGGGTTAGCTCTTATGTCTGGAACCTTCTCGCCAGCGTGCATCCTAGGAGAAAAAAGCTATTGGCCACTGTTCCTCTTTTGCAGTATCTGGTTACAATCCCAAAGATTACTGCAACCAGCATTTTCCATTTACATCAGTACAGTAAAACTTCCAGTCTAATTTTATTTTGAAGGTCCTAACAAGAGTGTAAGTCAGGATAGCTCAGCGGGTAAAGGTGCCTGCCGCCAAGTCTGGCAACATGAACTTTATCGTGGGGACCCACAGGATGAAGAGAACCGACTCTTCCAAGTAGCCTTCAGTACTCCACGGGCACACACACACATCCAAATAAACATTTTAACTATTGTTTTTCCTGCCTTTTACCAAGGCTCATGGAAGATGCAGAGCTGAGATAGTCCTTCGTCCTACTTTGGTTCCAATGGTAAAGGTGACTGATGCTAGTCATTCTGTCCTGTCTGGAAGCTGCCCCCTGGAAAGCTGCACAGGACACACCTTGCTTGCCCTGACTGTGTCCTCTGAGTCTCCTGGACACCAGTTCCTCCCTGAAAGGGCTTTCCTGATGAGAGTCCAGTCAAACGACCTCCTTGCCTTCACATATCGAATCCTCCGAACTGTTCACTGCTTCCCTGACCACTCGAAAGGGAGCTCCGTGACCAGGCACCACGACATCAGCCACGCTCAGAATCCTCTCCCGGCTCCGCTGCTGAGCTACTGGGTCTTCGCTCAGGGCCTGCCAGGAGTCCTCGTCACCAAGGCGCTCGAACACATCGCCAGCCACCACCACAGTGCCCAGGCTGGTGCCCTCCACTACGACGCTCACGTCCCGCTGTCCCCCGTGGCCCGGCGTGGCCCACACCTGCAGTCCGGAGCCCAGTATCAAAGGCTGCGTTTCACACAGTCCATGGGGCAGATAGAGACCTCCAGGAAGGCAGAAGTCATGGGACACTAACAGAGCTGCCTCGGGAAACAGCCCTAGGTTCCCGATATGATCCGAGTGCCCGTGGGTGCCCACCACGAGAGTCACGTCTCCGGGGGCCACGCCCTGAGTAGCCAGGGCTTTCAGCAGTGCATCCCGAGCCCAGGGTCCCCCGGTGTCCACGAGGATAGGGCCACGCACCGCCTCCTCCAGGGCAGTCTTAGCACCGTCGTCTGCGGATGGGGCCAATCGGCGGCTGGAGTCCGAGGCCCAGCCCCGAGGGAGGACGAGAGTCACCGTGCCATCAGCACGCACCGCGTCGCCGGCTCCCTGTGGCTCCGCGTAGCCGCGCAGCAGAACCGCGACCGAGTAGGAGCCGCTGGGCGCCAGCAGAGGGGTCTCACCGTGCAGCGGCTCAGTGCACACTGGTCCGCTCATGGCAAGGGAAGGAGATAGACCCCGCCACGGGCGTCTACCCAGTCGCTCCGAAATCCTACGGCAAGCCCGGCCACTCTTTGCAAATCGCAACTCGTTGCTACCCTCCCCCAGCTCTTAAGGTGGTATCTCCCTCTCCCCCTGCTGAAGATGGTGTCGCCCAATTGGCTTTCTCACCAAGACTTCCTAGATTCTTTTGGTCAGGGTTCCCCTTAGGTTTATAATCGGTAGGTCCTCACGCTTCCACATTTTAAAGATATCGTTTCCCTCTCCATTCTACCTGTTATCTACTTTGAAACTAATCTATCGCTCTCCTTAAACCTTTTTTTTGACTCTGGGAAAACTCAAAAGGCGAAAAAAACGCGAGAAATTTTGCCCTTTATGGGCTTCCGTACAATCTGCAGCGCCTGTAGTACTAGCCACGTTGCCTAACCGTAACCCTAATCCTGTACAGTTCACATCATGAGTTACACTAACTTCTGATTTTTGTGGTTTTTTTTCCTATTTTTTCTGATACAGGGGCTTAAGAAGCCCAGGATGGTCATGAACTTGCTACATAGCTGAGGAGGACTGAGTTCTTGACCCTCTTGCCCCGACCTCCAAAGTACTGGAATTATAAACGTGTACCACCACTCTGGATTTACAGTCCTAGTAGTACAGTGGTTTTCCCAAACCTAACCAGTATCCTTGGGTTGCATAATTATAAGAACACCACTAGCTACTAAGAAAACAGGCCAATGGCCCCACTGTCTGAGTGCTCCGTCATCAATACTGTGTGGAATGTTTGAAATGGGACTCAGCTGATATACATATAAAAGGTTTAATAGCAGTATAGAAAATATGGCACCTGTGAAATAGGAAATAGGCCACATGTCTACCCCACCTAACCCCAGCATTGCTTCACTCTCTTCCAGCGTCCTGTTATTCAGAGATTGATGTAAACAGCCTCATATTTGCAGTGTATATTGGTTCTTGAGGGTCCCGTTTTGGCTTCTTACTTTGAGACAGGGTCTCATGTAGCTCCAGTTGGTCTTAAACTGCTACATAGCTGGATGATATTCTGATATTCCTGCCTCTGCTTTTCAAGTGCTGAGATTACAGGGGTATGTGACCACACCAGGTCCAACTCCCATCACTGTCCATACTAGGCAGGCACTCTACCAACTGAGCTACATTCTAGCCCTTCTCTGGCCTCTGGAAAGGGTCTAAAATAGACTCTTTTAAAAAGCAAAGCGACTTTTCCACAGCTCATACCACCATTGACCAATTGGTGCAGGAGAGGACAGGTAAGAGAAAGGTCTCAATACTGTCACCACATACTTGCTCAATTAACTGGCTGCATGTGGCACATCTCTTAAGGCAAAACTTAATTCTACTTCTCCCCCCTTCTCCTCCTCTCATGTTGCCATTCTGGGTCTCCAGGATCATGGCTGAGATCATACAAAAAGGACAGTTAAAAGCCTTGGGATGGGGAAGGGAGAGCTCAAGAGTTTAGAAAGCTCTCTCTGACCCATCCTTGGGATTCAAAAGTAAAGGTCAAAGATCTTCTGGGTCATGCTTGGGATTGTCTGAAGTCTTGGTTGTCTCCTCTTCCTCTTCCTCCTCCTCTTCATCTGCCTCCTCCTGCCCATCACTGATCTTCTCCTTTCCAGTCCAAGTTTCCTGTAGACAAGCTAAGTAGAATAAGAAAAAAGAAAAAAAATAATCTCAGTGTTAATGCAGGGAGTAGCTGGAAAGCTGGGAAGCTCCAACCTTTACACTTACCAGTTTCGGAGGCCGGGAGCACATGACGTTCGCAGAGAAAATGCTGTAGGGGCTGCTCCTGGTGGTGGAAGTACCAGTCTCCTACAACATCTTCAAACTCCTCCAGCATCGTCTCACACTGGGAAAGAAGAGCAGGAGGAACATCTGCTCTGAGGGGCAGTGGAAGGCCTGCCTTACACTCCCTGTCACCCCACTCCCTTAAGCACCTTTCAAGAGGGCAGGGAGCCAAAAGGTTATATTTGGCTCTCTAGATGTGTGATTCTCGTTATTCAACATTTACTAGTATCTGTTACTATCTAGTACCTCATATATCTACTCTGCTAGGTGGCAGATGCCTATAATCCCTTAGGAGGTAGAGGCAAGAAAGATCCTGTACTGAAGCTCATTCCCAACCACACAGTGAGTTACAGACCCAGCCTGGGCTACGTGTAATAATCGTGTCTCAAAATCTCAGCACCTCTGAGATTCTAACCTGTAGAGTGGAAACTGGTATCCACACCTGTGACATGGGAGTAAAACGAGGCAGTAGCTGGAAAGTGTGTGGCCCAGAATCCAGGACACAGTAGGTGCCTTAGCATGTACTGGTAGATATGATGACCCGTACAGTATTACTTCTTGATATGCTGCTGGGCCTGCTTTCATAAGTGGCACAGTCCTTAACTCTTTGTCTTCTCCCTGCTCAGAGGTAGTCATCCCCTAATATCAAGCCCTGAGACTTAGGTCCTCTCACCTTCCTAGGCAAAGTGGTATTTTATCCTACCTGCTTCTTGAGGAATGTGACTTCCACGCTGGGCTCGTCCCACAGCTCCAAAGGGATTCCCAGATCCACTTTCACTCCCTTCTGTACCAGGCCTTTCAGTGTTGCCATGGTCTGACTTTGACCCTGAGGGATGGAAAACTTGCTGTAAGTCCAGTCCACCACCTCATCGCTTCCTACATCACCACATCAGCTTTATCAGCTACTGAAGACTCTGGGGTGTGTTCTATGAAAGAGTCTAGCCATAATAAGGGGATACTCCAAATTTAGGGGGAGACTAGCAGATATTCCTTGAGGATCTTGGACGATATAGATCTCTGTTTCTGAGGAACAGGGTCCTGGGCTGGGAGAGATAGCTTAGTTGGTAAAATGCTTCAGGATATTAGTTAAATCCCAGATCCACATTAACAAACAAACAAACAAATAACAAAACAGGCGCTAGACAGATGGCTCAGTGGTTGAGGGCACTGGCTGCTCTTCCAGGGGACCTAGGTTCAATTTCCAGCATCAACATGACAACTCACATCTGCTTGTAACTCCAGTCCCAGGGAACCTGACACCCTCACACAGATATACATGCAGGCAAAACATCAATGCACATAAAATAAAAATAAATAATTAAAAAAATTCAAAAAGCAAAAACCAGGCACGGTGGCATGAATTTACAATGGCGATGCTGGGGAAGAATGAAACAGATGCTGGGGTTCCCTGACTAGCCAGCCTAGCCTGCTAGTCAGTGAGCCAGTAAGACTGTCTAAAACAACCAAGGTGTATCTCAGTGGTACCCAACAGGGTATCTCAGTGGGGAAAGGTGATTGCCACCAAGCCTAATGACCTGAATTCAATACCCAGGACCCACACTGAGAAAAGAGAGAACCAACTCTCACAAGCTATCCTCTGACTTCAGTAGGGCATTGTGACACACTCACACATGAAGTCATTATTGGAGGAGAGAAAAAAAAGGATCTGTGTGTTGTGCTACACGCCTTTAATCCCAGCACTTGGGAGGCAGAGGCAGGCGGATTTCTGAGTTCAAGGCCAGCCTGGTCTACAGAGTGAGTTCCAGGACAGCCAGGGCTACACAGAGAAACCCTGTCTCGAAAAACCGAAAAAAAAAAGAAAAAAAGAAAAAAATGAAAACCAAACCTAACCACAAAACCAAGGTGGATGGCTCCAGGAAACAACACCCAATGTTGATCTCTGTCCTCTCTACATGCACACATACACATAAAAGCATATATAAGCCTTTTGGAGGGAAAAAAAAAAAAGGAAAACCAAGCAAAGCCCTTCCTGGGAACCATCTGACCTTGGCATATCTCAGTGACCCCTTGCGTTCAGCATGAACATTGTAATCCAGGATCCGTTCACACAAATTCTCCAAAGCCTCTTCCAGCCTCGTCTCACTGTGGGAAGGAGAGAAATAAGACTCCTTGATGTTTCAGGAACCCTGCAGCTCCTCTGGGCTTGGTTAGGAGGTGGATCAGCACAAAGACTCACGAGAGGCTGTAAGGCACGTGTCTCTTCCTCTTGCCCGTGTCTAGCACCTGACCCAGCTCCAGCACTTCTCGGGATCGGCCAGTTCGACTCAACTCTTCCTGTAGCTCCATGCTCAGCAGCTTACACACTGGAAGTAAAGAGATACCCAAGGGGGATGAAGAAGACAGGCAACCACACCAGCATCCTTCTGCTCTTGACCAGAGGCAGCCAAGCACATAAACATATACTCTGCAGCCAGAATGATTGGAAGAGAATACTGCCTCAGTCTCAGGAGCTGTGTGACACTTGCTGTGTCTTAGCTTCTTCAGCTCTGATATGGGGATAAGACTGTGTCTCTTATTGAGGTGTGATGAAGATTTAAGTGCATCAATATATGTGAAACCTGAAACCCCTAGGGTCATGTCTGGTATATAGTGAGCACTGTGTAAGAACTTGGTGTCACACTGATCTTATTTACTGAGCTACTTTATTACGTACCTAAGAGTATAGAGAGCATAAAACCCATCATGTCCTGTGAAACACTGCTAATATAGTTTGGGACTGACAATGACCATACAGTAGCAATGCTTCAGAGTTACAATCCAGAAACCTGTTTTCATGCTGGATGGTGGTGGTGCACGCCTTTAACCCCAGCACTCCTGAGGCAGAGGCAGGATGATCTCCGAGTTTGAGGACAGCCCAGTCTACAGAGTGAGTTCCAGGACAGCCAGGCTATACAGAGAAACCCTGTGTCTGAAAAACAAAGTAACACCTTGTTTCTAGGGCTGGGGAGACTACTCAGCAGGTAAAGGAACCTGCTACCAAACCTGAAGGTCCATAAGATAGAAGGAGAGAACCAACTTCTCCAAACTGTCCTCTGACCTCCACTTACTGTACAATGAACATGTTTACCTACACACATACACAACCACATACTACACTATGACACATGCTCACCCACCAAATACACAACACAAATGTAGTTTTAGGATGAAAGCAACTCAATCACCAGGAAATGCAAAATTCTTCCAAAGGTCACTTTCTCTACAGTAATTTCAATAAGGGTGATCATATCTTTCTACCACTGCCTTTCCCAGTATCTGACCTGACAGATGGTGGTCTGGGTTTGTCAAGAGAAAAGTCTCCTACAGAAATGACAACTAGACAGGGATAAATAACAAAAGTGCTTTCATTGCTATGACCTGAGACATGGGCAGTCCCTCTTCTTCCAGGACTTAAAACATAGCAGGTGACAGGCAAGGAGGGAGTCCAAAGGAGACATTTAAACTGGGTCCAGGAGAATGAGTAGGAGCTTATCAAATACAGAAAGGAGAGGGGGGAAACAGCCAAGAAAAGACAAGGGACACTCACTGACTGCGAGAAGTTGGGTGTGTCTGAAGCACAGGCACTTTTAGGAATGTCGTATAAAAGCACAAGAGTGTACATACAAACATTTACAGCTCTCCCCTACCCCCAAAAGTTGGCTTAGGTTCTGGGAAAACAGTTCAGGAAGTAAAGTACCCGTAAGATTAAGGACCTGAGTTCAGATCCTAAGAACTTATACAGTGTTAGGTGATGTGGCACACATTATCCCAGCATTTTGAGATTAGAACTAGAGACATGTGGTTTATATGGTTAACTTCCAGTGGAACCAGAGAACCCCGTCTCAAACAAAAGGTAGATGTTTCTCCTGAAGGAATAACACCTGAGGTTATCCTCTGACCTCCACATGGATGTCATCCAGGTGTACACACACAAGGTCTTTGACTGAACACAGGGTTACAAAAGCAAGAGTGCCAAGGTTAGACCTGTGTTTAGGAAGCTTAAGAAGTCCTAGGAGATGCCAGGCAGTGGTGGCGAATGCCTTTAATCTCAGCACTCAGGAGGCAGAGGCAGGTGGATCTCTGAGTTAGAGGCCAGTCTGGTTTACAAGTTCCAGGACAGCCAGAGGTACAGAGAGAAATCCTGTCTCCACCCCCGACCCCCTAAAAAGACTCAGGAGAAGAGTGGGAACACAGAGGAAAGGAAGTTAGAGATTAGAATCAAGTCATGGGTAACAATGATAATAATATGTTGTTGGGTGTGAAGTGAAGCTATAAGGAATCCAAAGAAAAAGTTAAGTCAGGGAGCCACAGGATATTTATTCAATGACCTGGCTTCCTCCCCGTTGGGGGTGGGGTAGCGGGAGGACATTTACTAATGCAGCCAGAGGCCGTGCTGCTTGTTGTAAAATCTCTATAGTGCACCCCATCTGCAAAGCCTAACACCGATGGACAACTTCTTAATGGTGTGGTGTCTCCATCTTTTGTTTATGAGCTTCAGCTGGGGACTTACTCACCTTTAAACCCCTGAAGGGGGTCATCAGGCCTGTAATTTGCAAGCGTCTCTGCCAGGGCGGGGCACAGTATGTCTATAAGGTATGAACCTTACAGTCCCCCCCCGCCCCATGCAAGTTGTCCAGATTTTTAACAAGGAGGGAAACGCACTGAGGAAGATGCACCGTAGAGGCAGCGTTACAGCTCTTGAACTACAATTCCCACAATACATTGGGGCCCGAGTCCGCAAGAAAAACCTAGCTCCTTCTGGATGCCGCCTGGGAAATGTAGTGCCACTTTAACCCTGATTCTCTCCCTCATTCCCATTGAAGTGTTACCAAGCTCCAACAGAACCTCTTTCAAGACAGTGGAGTGACCCATCTATCCTAGCCCATTTGATTCAGCCTAGAGTTATAGAGGTAGAAGGTAGATAGGGAGATGTAAATAGCAACTGCTCTATTTCTGTACCTTCGCATTTGCTGGGCAAACGTTCTGTGTCATCTTCCTCCTCTTTTGTCGTCCCAGCCCAAGCACCGTACGCTGCCAGGATGAAAAGTAGTATTTCCAGCCGCACAGGTCTCATGACAAAACGCAGTCCACACATATACACAACCACCGTTTGCCTTCAGACCAACTTCTGGAAGGCAGCGGGCCCTTTAAATTTAGGCGCAGCCGGCAGCAAGCTTTAAAAAAAAAAAAAAAAAACTTGGACCGGTCAGCGCATGCTCAGTACTATCCCGAAAGTGGGTGGAGCGTGTTAGCTCCGAGGCCTCCCCGCCTCAGTTTTGTGGCGCCTCCTGAAGGTCCTGGCAGCTGGGTATAGAAGATACAAATTGAAGTAATTAGAATGGAGTAATATGATCTTTGCACATACACGTAGAATGTAATTTTTATATAATTTCAAACTGTGAATCGATATGGTCTATTTTGACATAGGGAAGAGGAGTGATAAGTTCTTGGCTTCTGCCAGGACCTACTCCTGCCAGGGGGCGGGGCCAAGATGGCGCCGAGCGCCGGGTGAGCGGCGCCTTAGCAGCGGTGAGAGGCTTTTACTGCTCCCGGTGCTTGGCTGGCGGGGGAAGGTCTGAGGTGTATCCGGGAGGAGACCCTTTGAAAGGGCCCATGTGAGGACTGGGAAGAGGACGGTTGGTTGTGTGTCCGTGCTCGTGGGGACCCTGTGCGTGATTGCACTGGAAGGATGTTGGGGAGATGTAGTGGATTGTGACCCTCCTGTAGCGCTGCCTGGGGAAATCTTCGAATCACTTCCCTGCTGAGAAAAATGATACACAGATATAGCTCAAGTTATCCGTCCTCTGAGAAGTCTTCCTGTCTCTTCCACTGATCTGAGAAACTCCCGAGGCTGCTAGAGTGTTTTATGAACCCTTAGAGGCAAGGGTACCGCAGGGGACTGAGACCCGACTACTTCTTGTATACCTGGCACCAGGTACATAGTATGTGCTGAATAATTGTATTTCCTGTAGACAAGATTTAACAAAAGTATGAGAAGACTTGGGATGAAAAGAACCAGTCCCTAGCACTCAGTTCTGAACACTCTTGAGGTTGATCTTCTCGTGTCCAGTGTCAGGCAAGCTCCTTTCCTTTTGACCACAGAGTAAACTCCAAGCTTGAGTCTGTGTCTTTTTCATTTTGGTAATTGTTATACCAAGTATTTATTGACCACTTACACCTTTAAGACTTAAAATTCATATATTTAACAATGTCTTAGGTATCAATCTAGGCACCAGATAGGCCAGTGAACATAACAGACATATTCCTGTCGACTGGTGGGGTAAGGATGATAAACAAGAAGAAATGATAGCCAGGCTTGGTAAACAGCTGTAAAAGGCAGGAGAATCTCCAAATCAAGGCCACAGAATGAGTTCCAGACAAGCCTGAGACCCAATTGTAGAAGTGTTGCTTAACATGTGAAAGGCCTTAGATTTAATCTAGAGTGATTGGTATGTGCTTGTAATCCCAGCACTTGGGAGGTAGAGGCCAAAGGACCAGGAATTAAGACCAGTGTTGTCTACATAGTGAATTTGAAGCCACTGGGGAGTGGGGGCGGGGTTATAGGAGACCTGCTCCTAAAGAGAGGTGGTGGGATCAGGTAGTCAGCCAAACACATTTAGGAAGAACATAATAAAACCTATAAAGCCAAATGCATGTTTGTCAGATTTAAAGGACAGCAAGGAGGAGGATGTGACAGGGTAAAGTGGGAGAAGGAGGGACAGGTGATCAGAGATATGAGAGAAAAAGAAAAAAAAAACCACTTTAGACAGGAACTTATTGCATAGCTCAGACTGGCATCAAACTTGCTGTCTCCCACTTTAGCCTCGAGAGTGCTGGGATTACAAGCACATACCAATCACTCTAGATTAAATCTAAAGCCTTTCACATGTTAAGCAGCCCTTCGACAATTGGGTCTCAGGTCTGTTAAAAGTCCATTGAAATTAGAAGTGTTGATCCCTACACCTGGACAACAGACAGATCTTGAAGGGAGGGCCTTGAAAGGGTTTTATGTCAAAGGGGAACCATAATAGGAAAGAGTTATCTAGTTTGTATTTTGACAGACCACTTTGGTTTTAAGGAACAAATGCAAGAAGGGTAAGATGGAAATAGGAACACCTTGTCCAGGGACTGAGTTCAGCAGGCAGTAGGTGATGGGGTCTGGTTGTGCTGCCTGGTAGGTTTTAAAACAGTGCTGGGAATCAACCCCAGGCCCATTGCATGCTATGTACCTTACCACTGAGCCGCATCTTCCAACCCTTACCTGGTGGATTTGATTCAAGCATCCAGATAAGAATGAGTTATGCTGGATGTGGTGACACATGCCTACAGCCCCAGCACTTGGGAAGTAGCAGTACCAGGAGTTCAGGGTCATTCTCAGCTACATATGGAGTAAGACACTAGCCTAGGCTACAAGAGGCCCTATTTCAGGAGGGGGAGGGGGGAATGCCTGAGCCAGAGAGAGAGAGAGTGCGGTGCACTCGCGAGCCTGAGCCAGGCAGTGGTGGTACACGCCTTTAATCCCATCATCCAATCAGTCATCCAGGAGGCAAGAGGCAGTTGGATGTCTGAATTTGAGTTCAGCCTGGCCTACAAAGCAAGTCAGTTCCAGGTCAGCTAGGGTTACACAGCCTCCGGGTGGAAGGGTAGGGGACAAACGTCTGGAGGTGTAGCTCAGTTGTTAGAGTATTTCCCACCACCACAAAACTGTGGAGGTACACGGCTATTATCCTAGAATTAGGAAGGCAGAAGCAAAAGACTCTAGAATCAAGACTATCTTTTATTACAGAGTTTAGGGCGTGCCTACAGAAATCCTGTCCCCTAAATTAAGAGCAAACAAACAAATTTTCATTGGGCATGTTAATACATGCCTATAATCCCAGTACTTGAAAGGCAGAAGCAGGAGGCTGGAATTAGAACTGTCAGGGCTACATAGTGAGCCCCCGTGTCTAAAAGAAAAAGGAAAGACCAAACTATTTGGTAACTTTGCTCTGAGAACTGCAAGCAAGGAGGGAACTCAGATGTAGGCTTTGAATTGTTTTCCTTTTTATCTTGTCCCATCCCATTGTCAGGATCTCCATCTCTCCACCCTGGGGAGGCATCCTTCCAGGGACAGGAGCTGGAATTCCAGCATGGCTGAGGAGAAGAAGCTGAAACTCAGCAACACTGTGCTGCCCTCTGAGTCCATGAAGGTGGTGGCAGAATCCATGGGTATTGCTCAGATTCAGGAGGAGACTTGTCAGCTACTGACAGATGAGGTCAGCTACCGCATCAAGGAGATTGCCCAGGTAACTCTTGTTTTTGTTCAGCTTTGCTTTGTGCCAACAATCCAACCTACTATGTAACTAAGGATAGCCTTAAACTTCTTCTTGTTTTTTTTTTGTTTTGTTTTTTGTTTTTTTTTGTTTTTCGAGACAGGGTTTCTCTGTGTATCCCTGGCTGTCCTGGAACTCACTCTGTAGACCAGGCTAGCCTCGAACTCTCAAACTCAGAAATCCGCCTGCCTCTGCCTCTCAAGTGCTGGGATTAAAGGCGTGCGCCACCACTGCCTGGCTGCCTTAAACTTCTGACCCTCCTGCCTCCACGTCCCACTGCTGGGTTTGAGGTTCTAATAATACCATGTCTTGTTTATGTGATGCTGAGTTGGAGGCCAGCCTGGTATACATGGTGAGTTCCAGGAGAGTCAGGGCTACACAGAGATAACCCTGTCTCTGAAAACAAAAACAAAATCTCTTTCCTTCCCACGCCCTAGGATGCTTTGAAGTTCATGCACATGGGGAAACGGCAGAAGCTCACTACCAGTGACATTGACTATGCATTGAAGTTAAAGAATGTGGAGGTGATTTGGAGGGGCTTAAAGGAGACAGGCGGTTTTAGAGTGGGGAGACAATGTACGTGTAGCCATGCCTCCCTTGAGCTGTTTCTCACGTCTTTCTCTGTCTGTCTCCTGGTGTAGCCACTGTATGGCTTCCATGCTCAGGAGTTCATCCCTTTCCGGTTTGCCTCTGGTGGAGGCCGGGAGCTGTACTTCTATGAAGAGAAGGAAGTGGATCTAAGTGATATCATCAACACCCCTCTGCCTCGGGTGCCTCTGGATGTCTGCCTCAAAGGTGGGGGGAGGGGTAGAGCTGGGTGCCCAGGGAGGAGGGGAAGGAAGCATGTGACTGGGAGGCACTTGACAAGAAAAGAACCGTCCAGTGTGTGAATGGCAATGACACCAGGAAGGGCCATACACCTTCCTTCATACAGGGTTACTCCCCAGTGTACATACCCAGAACTTAGCTTGACATCTTCCTTACAGCTCATTGGCTGAGCATTGAAGGCTGCCAGCCAGCTATACCAGAGAATCCACCCCCAGGTAAGATTTTCCTTACCCAGATCTCCTTTTATTCTCTTATTGCCCTTACTCTCTTTCCCCATCCCTGGCCCTCCAGGGCTCCTCCTACCTTCTCATCACTCCTACTGTGACCACTTTCCCACCAGCTCCCAAAGAGCAGCAGAAGGCTGAGGCCACAGAACCCCTGAAGTCAGCAAAGCCAGGCCAAGAAGAAGATGGACCCTTGAAAGGCAAAGGTCAAGGGGCAGCTGCAGCTGATGGCAAAGGTCAGTATCCTGGCCAGGCCCCTTCCTACTCTTATTCCAAAGCAAGATGGTCCTCAGTGAAGGTCACAGATAAAGGAACCTCAGAAAGGCCCAGAGCCTACAGAAGGGCTGCATGTTGCGGTGAGGGTTTGTCTTATACAGAAGCCTCTTCTGAAGCTTACTTTTTTATTTTTGACATGTGTACAGGTGTTCATGTGTGTAGGCACAGACGTGTGTGTGTGTGTGTGTGTGTGTGTGTGTGTATCTGTGTAGGCTGGAGGATCATCTTAGCAGTCAGTCCTCATGTGCTATCTACCTTGTATTTTTTTAAGGCAAGCACTATACTGATTGAGCTATCTCCCCAGGCAGAGTTTTCTTTTTCAAGCCTGTCTTCCAATTCACACAGGAAAAGAAAAGAAGGCACCTCCCTTGCTGGAGGGGGCCCCTTTCCGCCTGAAGCCCCGCAGTATCCATGAGCTGTCTGTGGAGCAGCAGCTGTATTACAAGGAGATCACGGAAGCCTGTGTGGGATCCTGTGAGGCCAAGAGAGCGGTAAGCTAGCCCTCTGGCTTCCCTTCACACAGAGGAAGAGTCTTCCTGGAACAAGGGTAGTTTTTTTACAGTAAGTGGTCCTACCTAACTCACTGACCCCTCCCACAGGAAGCTCTGCAGAGCATTGCCACGGACCCGGGGCTCTATCAGATGCTACCACGGTTCAGTACCTTTATCTCAGAGGGGGTGAGAGAACTGGGAAAGGCCAGACCCATGATGAGGCCGTAAGGGAGGGGGATGGCAAGGGAAGTTCATCTTAGGGGTCTCTGCACCCATCATCAATTTTCCCTCTCCTAGGTCCGTGTGAATGTGGTTCAGAATAACCTGGCCTTGCTCATCTACCTGATGCGTATGGTGAAGGCCCTGATGGACAACCCCACACTGTATCTAGAGAAATATGTGAGTGGTCTTGCCTCCTGTCTTTTCCAGGGTCAGGGACCCTTCTGCCAACCTTACCACAAGAGGTCAGGTATCAGAACTGGCTGACAGAGCTTGGTCTCTCTCAGGTGCACGAGCTGATTCCAGCAGTAATGACCTGCATTGTGAGTAGACAGCTGTGCCTGCGGCCAGATGTGGACAATCACTGGGCACTCCGGGATTTTGCTGCCCGACTAGTGGCCCAGATCTGTAAACATTTCAGCACAACCACCAACAACATCCAATCCCGAATCACTAAGACCTTTACCAAGGTAAGTGCCAAAAGTGTATCAGATGATGCAGACCATCCCTTTAGGGCTATCCCCATGAAAGAGAGCTTCACCCACCTTGAAGCAGAAATGATACCTGGAACACAGAGACTGGAGCCATGGAGATTGGGCCCAAGGGACTTGAACCTCTGTATCTTAATGTTTTGTGTTTATAGGTGATGTCAATCCTTCCCAGTTAGCCTGTCTCCCCCCCCCCCTTTCCAGTTTTTCTTTTTTTTTTGAGTCAAGAGTTTCTCTGTGTAACCCAGGCTGCCCTGGAACTTGCTCTGTAGGCCAGGTTTGGCCTTGAACTCACAGATCCACCTGCCTGTCTTCTGTGAGTCCTAGGATCAAAGGCATGTGCCACCACTGCTTGGCAGCCATCTCTTTTTTGAAACAGTGTGTCACCTACCCCAGGCAGGCCTTAAACTTGCTGTATAACCAAGGATGGCTTTTTTGTTTTTTGAGGTAGGGTTTTTCTGTGTGTAGCCCTGGCTGTCCAGGACTCAAACTCAAAAGATCCACCTGCCTTTGCCTACTAAGTGCTGGGATTAAAGGTGTGTGCCATCATGCCTGGTTTGAGGATTTTTTTTTTCAGGGTTTTGTTTGTTTTTGTTTTTCGAGACAGGGTTTCTCTGTATAGCCCTGGCTGTCCTGGAACTCACTCTAGACCAGGCTGGATTTCTTTTTTTCTTTTTTCTTTTCTTTTTTTTTTTGGTTTTTCGAGACAGGGTTTCTCTATGTAGCCCTGGCTGTCCTGGAACTCACTCGGTAGACCAGGCTGGCCTCGAACTCAGAAATCTGCCTGTCTCTGCCTCCCAAGTGCTTGGGTTAAAGGCGTGCACCACCACTGCCTGGCTCTTGAGGATGGTTTTAAACTTCGAATCTTCCTGTCTCTACCTCCTATGTGCCAAGATCAGTCATGTACCACCAAGCCTGGTTTAGCCATTACCCTTTCTAAACCTTTAACTCTGGGATCTTCTTTTTCTCTACAGAGCTGGGTAGATGAGAAGACTCCATGGACAACTCGATATGGCTCCATTGCAGGCCTGGCCGAGCTGGGACACGATGTTAGTCTCCAGGAAGAGCTGGGAGAGGGGCAGTTACATATGGTGTGGGAGAGGCCTTGGGTGACCTTTTAGCCTGGGATTCTCCCCTTCATTCCCACCAGGTGATTAAGACGTTAATTCTACCAAGGCTGCAGCAAGAAGGGGAACGGATCCGCAGTGTCTTGGATGGACCTGTGCTGAGCAACATCGACCGTATTGGAGCAGACCATGTGCAGAGCCTTCTCCTGGTGATGAGCCTCCACCATACCCTCTCTTTCTTCCCACCAGCCCACCCTCAGCTCCCACAAACATGGCTACAGTGTTTAGCAAGCACGAGGCACATCTTACTCTTTTACTCTTGAGAGGCTGGCACTATTGTGCATACGGAAAGCTAGGCACAAACAGAAACTGTTGATAGTCACTAACTTGTGGACCACACCGCCTTCATCCTGCTTGTCTCACTCTACGGCTCACTCTGCACAAGGCACATGAACACCATATATGTCGTCAGCAGACACAGCAAATCCTGTCTGCATCAGTTGATCATTGTGAAAGGAAACAGTCTTTTATGTTAGAATTTGTTGACTCCTATAGATAGGATCTTGCTGTACAACCTTGGCTAGTCTGGAACTTGTAAGGTAGACCGACCTGGCCATGTGGCCATCCTGTTACCTGTCTTCTGAGTGCTAAGATTATAGGAATGCACCACCACACCAACTAAAATCATCCCGTTTTATTTTTATATGCTCATGAATGAACACCATGGGTACAGGTGCCCACAGAAGCCAGAGGAAGGTAACAGATCTGCAACTAGAGGATGCTTGTGAGCAACCACCCTCTGAGGACTAAACCTCTGAGCTACCTCTCCAGTCCCCCATTCTTGTGCTGCTGGGAATTGGACCTAGGGCCATATGCATGTTTACAAAACACTCTACCAATGAGCTATATTCTCTTTGGCCCTCTTTACTTTGAGATATGACACCTGCTCAGCCTAGCCTGGAGTTCTCTATGTAGCTCTGGCTAACCTAGAACTCAATGACCTTTCTGCTTCAGCTCAAGTGCTGGGACCACAGGCATGAACCACCACACCCAGCTCTGATGGAATGCCCTTATAGAAGCATAGCCTCTCACTGTGGCTTCTGACAGCAGTCGAGGAGCTCCCCTCTCACCTTTGGGGAGGATACCAGCCCTTACTTTACCTCCTCTACAGAAACACTGTGCCCCAGTCCTGGCGAAGCTGCGCCCTCCACCTGACAATCAGGATGCCTACCGGGGAGAATTTGGGTCCCTTGGGCCCCTTCTCTGCTCCCATGTGGTGAAGGCCAGGGCCCAGGCTGCTCTACAAGCTCAGCAGGTCAACAGGACCACACTCACCATCACACAGGTCAGCTGCTGACAGGAAATGTACAGGGACCCAGGTTTGGGATAGGACTTGCCAGCAGTCTCAGGGAGCTGGACCCCACTCCTACCCCCAATGAAGAACTACCAAGAGTGACCGAGGTCTGCCTTCAATGTTAACATTTTCTTCCTGTGTCTCTTCATAGCCTCGGCCCACACTGACCCTCTCACAGGCCCCTCAGCCAGGCCCTCGCACCCCTGGCTTATTGAAGGTCCCTGGCTCCATTGCCTTGCCTGTCCAGACACTGGTGTCTGCGAGAGCTGCTGCCCCTCCTCAGCCTTCTCCTCCTCCAACCAAGTTTATCGTAATGTCCTCATCTTCCAGTGCCTCATCAACCCAGCAGGTATGTGGAGCCATGGTGAGGGATGTGAGCAGCACCCTGGGGAAACCTCCAAGTTGTGACCTAATCCCTTCAGGCTCAAACTCAGATGGCACGAGAGCCGCTTATCAGGATCTTGGAGGCCTCAAGCTAGCAGCAGTCTTGACCATTCATTCACTGGGGACTACAAGGGAAGGTGGGAGCAGAGGGCATGGGTCAACAGCAGGTACCTGGAAAAGGATTCTGGGGGAACTAAGGACGTGACCCCAGGCCCTCCTTTCTCCCTCAGGTCCTGTCCCTCAGCACCTCAGCTCCTGGCTCAGGCTCTACCACTACCTCTCCTGTCACCACCACGGTTCCCAGCGTGCAGCCCATCGTCAAGCTGGTCTCCACTGCTACCACTGCACCCCCAAGCACAGCCCCTGCTGGTCCTGGCAGTGTTCAGAAATACATTGTGGTCTCTCTTCCCCCAACAGGGGAAGGCAAAGGAGGCCCTCCTTCTCATCCTTCTCCAGTCCCCCCTTCATCTTCTTCACCATCACCACTTGGGGGCAGTGCCCTCTGTGGGGGGAAGCAGGAAGCTGGGGACAGTCCCCCTCCAGCTCCAGGGACTCCAAAGGCTAATGGCTCCCAACCTACTGGACCTGGCTCTCCCCAGACTGCTCTGTGATATTGTCACATGTGCTGACCTCCTCTCTTCTGCAGATTCCTACACACACAAACAACGTGTGAGGGATGAAGGAGGAAGAACTTTTCCCCAGTGACTTTCTTTTTAGATACTGTACAGTAAGTTCCTCAGAATAAAAGTTGGATTTGTAAGTTTGTGAGCCTCCCTGTGTCACAGATGGGGTGAGTCCATGGAACCTTCCTGTCCAGATCCAAAGTCACAAGAAAGAAAATGTCCTCTTCCCATTCAACTGCCTGCTAACGTTGCTGTCCATATCCTTGTTTGGGAAGCTTCAGATCCGAATTACATAGGCATTGCTGTGGCTTAGATGTCGAACCCACTTGTGAGGGTTGGCATTACCACAGGCGCTAAAGGACAGTCTGAGGAATCGAACCTGGAGGCCAGAGCATGTGTGCCGAGGGAGTTCAAAGGAGAGGCTGGCAGGACCCAGCCCCAAGGGGGAAGCTGAGGGGGAAGGCCCATGGCTAGGAGGTCCCTGCGAGCCAGGGACATCCATCTGTAAATGAAACAGAGAAAAGGTGAGGCTAGACAGCTACCCAGCAGCAGGAGGACTGGGCTGTAGAGAAGGTGTGTGAGGATCAACAGTGCATACCTGGAAAAGGCCAGAGAGTTGAGAGCCTCCTTGTACCCGAGGCAGATCCCAGTGAAGGGCTCCTTCTCCCAGCTCTGCCTTCTGATCTGGGCTGCTCAGTTCCTGAGACAGGCTGGATGGTGGACAGGGAAGATGATGAACTAAGTGGCTACTTCCTAGGTAGAGCAGAGGCTCTACCCAGGGAGTCTTCCCAGCAAGCATGCTGACCTGACAACCCCTCGAGGCAGGGGAAGGTGCAGATGAACGTTGAGAGCTTGGCTGCGAAGAGGAAAGGAAGAGTCAGCCCCAGGGTGGCAGTGTCTTACCCTGGACCTTTCTGTGTGCACTGCTCTTGAGACAGTCAAACGGCTGAGAATGACTTTGAACTTCTGATTCTCCTGCCTCTGCTTCCTCCACTGCTAGGATTACAGGTGTGCAGCACCACACTGTCTGAGGTGCTGAGGATCAAAGGCAGGGCTCTGCATGCTAAGCAAACACTCTCTCTGCACACTGACCGACACCCCAGCCCCTTTTCTATGCCTCCATAAGAGTTCAGCACAGATGCGTTCCCACCTCTAACTCAACTGGAATATAAAGTTGGTGGATGCAAATGACTGGTTGTTTTGAGATGAGGACTGGCTTCATAACTGGTGAACCTTCTGTTTCTGTCTCCCATCTGCTGAGATTACAGGTACACACCACACACTACAAAGCTTTAGTGGACCCATCTGGAGGAAGAATTAGCAGGTCCTTGGGCCTATTTTCTGTCCCATACAGCTGAACTGGGCTTGACTAACCCCCACTCTTTTTTGTGTTTTGTTTCCTGAGACAGTGTCTTATGGAGCCCAACCTGGCCTCCCAACTCCCTATGTATTTGAGGTTGGCCCTGATCTCCTGACCCTTCTATCTCCCAAGCGATGGGATTATAGGTGTGTGCCACCATGTCCAATTTAACCAGTTCCAACCCTTACCTCTTTGGGGGCAGGTCACACCGTAACTTGAGGTAAACCTGGAGCCTGGAAAGGGTGGCATACAATTACATCATATCCTATTGACCTCCCCTCACTGCTAATCCAGGGCCTCCATGGGACAAGACTGGGTAAATTGTACCCCAAGGAGGGAAAGGGCTGAGGTCCATCCCGAAAACATTAGCCAAGATTTTTCCCAACCTATATCCTATCATCTTTACCACGACCCTTCCATATTAAGCCCTGGGAACACGTATAGCTTGGAGTAGTTCTAAAACACAGGAAATAGTCTCACCGGCCTGAGCCTTGGTCCCATTGTACAGAGGGAAAGAGCCGGAAAGGAAGTGGTGAGGGGAGGTCATCAGAGAGCTGGTATCTCATCACAGTCAGCTGAGGCCAAAGAGGGACAGGTCAGGTTGGTCTTGCATTGGTCCTGCCTCCCTCCCCTTGGTGGATGGAATACACCGGGAATATACCCTGAATCTGACCTCGCCATGAGGCGGCTGCAGGCGGAGGACCCGATGAGACTCAAACTCATCTAGATTGACAGAGCTATGGAATGACACCTCATCAACTCGAATCCCTGGCCCATAACCTGCCACGAGAAGGAGACAGTTCTCCTGACCCATGTTTCAGAAAAGAGACATTTCCAACTTCTCTCCATATTTTTTTGAAGGGAAAAACTCATGCTCTCCTTACCTCTCAGTTCTGACTTTCCAACGCAAAATTCTTCTGTCAAGCCAATGCATATCTCTGTGGGAGGAAAGGACATGAGAAAAGGGATAGCAAATACCAGCATACACATCACAAGAAGTCTGCACCACACCTCACCACTGGTCCTCACCAGAACCACTGGGAAGGAAGCTCTTGAGCCGGATCTCTCCTTGGACATCCACCTTCAACAACGACCCCTGGAGGTGGAAGGAAAGTTAAGCTCAGCCTTCCCCAAGGAGCACTACCCTTCGAGTCCAAGAGCGGGAGCCCACACTTACATTAGACGCAATCAGTACAGACAGCCTCTCCACCACATCCAAAAACACCTCATTCTTTTGGCTCTAAGAAAGAGAGATTTTGAGTTATAGAGCTGAACACCTGTTTTGTTTTGTTTTGTTTTGTTTTGTTTTGTTTTGTTTTTTTGGTTGAGACAGGGTTTCTCTGTGTAAAAGAGCCCTGGCTGTCCTGGACTTGCTTTGTGGACCAGGCTGGCTTTGAACTCAGAGACTTCTACCTGCCTCTGCCTCCCAAGTGCTGGGATAAAAAGCATGAACCACAACACCTAGCCTGAAAACCTTTTTAAATGGACAGGCAATGACAAGCATGGTGACACATGCCTGTAATTTCAGCACTTGGGAAGCTGAGGCAGGAGGACTACCATGAATTCAAGACTGGCCTGCATTACAAGGTTGAAGGACCAAAGGAGAGCCTGTCTCAAAAAAACAAAAGAACAGGAAAAAAAAGTATTTGTCACATAAATATGATGATCTGAGTCTTATCCTTAAAATCCATGTGAATGCCAAGGTACTATAGGTTATTATAGGTAACGTATAACCTACATACACTAGGGAGGTGACGAGATGCAGACCCCTGAGGCTCACTGGTAGGCCATCCAGTCCCGCCTAGTCAGTGAGCTCCAGGCTAGTGAAAGATCCTGTTTCAAAGGAGGCGGATGGATGGCATTCCTGAGGATGACATCAAAGGCCTGATCCTTTGGCCCCCACACAAAAGCATGCTCTGCACACACACACACATACACACATGCATAAAATAAGCGGCAGATGAAGGGACAGGAGAGTTGAAGTAGAGTCCTGGAATGTGAGCCCAGGGGTAAAGGAAAGAATACCATGTCTAAAGGGAGTAGAAAGATAAGACGAAATTCTTGGACTTCAGGGTCTTAGGACAAAAAATTCAAGTCTGGCCTCACCGATCCTTCCCTTACCTGGTCAGAACGACTGGACAAGACGGGGCGGCTAGCTGCACTGCTTGGAGCCACTCTGTTCTGCTGTGTCTCTGCCCCAAACTGTAAAGCACCCAAGGCAACTAATCTTCAGCTCTGATGCTCACAGCCAACCCTCCTGCCCCTCTTCTTTCCCAGCTACTGACCAGTCCAACACTGCTGAGGTCAAAGAGGCTGAAGGGCTTGCTGACCACAGCTTCAGTCTGGATGAAGTTCCTCAGCATCTCTGTGGATGTAGTCTGTACATAGCCATAGTCCTAATGGACAGGAAGAGTTGAAATGGTGTGGATGTAGCCTCCTAACCACGAACTCCGTAAGAAAGGACATTTCTTCATGGTAGCATGGGACAAAAGAACAGAGTCCTTGGGGCTAGGGAGATGGTTCACTGGGTAAAAGGCTCGCTGATTGAGTGTGTGGACCTGAACTCAATCCCTGAAACTTAAGTAAATAAGAAGGTGGACATAGGCCGGGCGGTGGTGGCACACGCCTTTAATCCCAGCACTTGGGAGGCAGAGGCAGGCGGATTTCTGAGTTCGAGAGTTCGAGGCTAGCCTGGTCTACAGAGTGAGTTCCAGGACAGCCAGGGCTACACAGAGAAACCCTGTCTCGAAGAAGAAAAAAAAAAAAAAAAAAAAAAAAAGAAGGTGGACATGATATTCAGCATCTATAATTCCAGCGTCCCCATTCAGAGATGGGAAGCAGAGACAGGAGAACCGCAGGACGCTTGCAGGCTGGTTAGCTTAGCATACCTGCACTGGAGAACAAAGAGACCTTCCCTTTTCCTTTCTTTGTTTTGATTTTTATTTTTCTCAGGACAGGATTTCTCTGTGTAACCCTAGCTGTCCTGGAACTCACTCTGTAGATCAAGCTGGCTTTGAAGTCAAGAGATTCACTCACCTGCCTCTGCATCCTGAGTGTGCCACTATGGCAACCCTGGCTGGCCTCCAGCTCATTATGTAGGCTGGGAATGCCTCAAAAATCATAGTGATCCATCTACCTCTGGATGCTGGTATATTAAAGGCACGGACTTGTCTTGAACAAGGTTAGGACCAATACCCGATATTATCCAACAGTAAAGAAAAGGACACACACATGGAGGGAGACAGACAGACAGACAGACAGAGATCCTGTGAGATGGCTCTGTGGTGCTTGCTACCAAGCCAGCCAACCTTAGTTCAATCCCAGGGACCTAGACAGTATGTTGGTTGGAAACAAGCAAAAGCAACTTATTCTAAACACTATCACTTTATTCTCAGACTCCACTTAATCATAAGGAGAAACTAAATTCAAGGCCCTAGGGGAGCTGGGGACTTCCCAATAGCTGAACAGCTTCTGTTATAAACAGTTGTCTGAGTCCAGACATCTTAGGGACAACTTGTACACAGATGTCTGAGTCTAGCCATCTCAGGGACAGCTTGTAAGGGAACAGTTGTTTGAGTTCAGACACCTCAAGGACAGCTTCTCCATCTTGCTGGCAAGATCAACTAAGCTCATGTTCCCAAGCCCAGAAAACTACTCCTAATCTGATTGGCGAAAGTTCCCCTTGCTCAACCCCTTATGTCAAAATATGATTGGACAGTGATACAGTTCATCCACTCCCCTTTACTTTGAAGTGTCATCCTTTAAATATGCTAGGTAATTTCTCTTCAGGGTTGTAATTCATTTCTGGAGTCTGTTCTACAGCCCTGATCTATCAATATTGGCATGATTATAATACATTTTTGTTATTTGCATTGACCTAGTGCTTGAGTTATGGTGGATTTAAGCAGACCCTACAAGTAGAAGAGACCTAACTCCAGTAAGTTGTTCTCTGAACTCCACACATGTGCAGTGGTGTGGGCAGACACATATATATACACATATCAAAATGTACACATTTTTAGAAAGAGGGAAGTTTTGGGGTTTACCAGCACTTCATCCAAGAGTTCGTAGACAAGCGCCACATTACGTGAGATGGTTCCCTCATTGAGTGAGCCACAGTAGTCACCCAAGAGGGTGGCTAACCTAAGGAAACACAGCACATTATGTGTGAATAAACCTCACAGGCCCTCCTTCTTAAGGACTGCCTGTCCCAGTCCCACTCACCGGGAAAGCAGCTCCAGAAGGCTGAAAGGAGAGACGTTTTCTGAGGTTGTGGCCACCAAATAGAGACCACTGTGTCTGATGTGAATGAAATGACGATCATCGTGATACTGAGGCAGAGTTGAGGACAGAGGCATTAGCAAAAGACCAGAATTGTATTAATATAGCCTACAAGATGGCACCCTGAGGTCTCTACTAGTGACGGTAGAAAGTGTGACTCTGGACGATCCCTGAGACCTAAGACCTGGCTGCCTAATGTGTAAAGGTAGTACCTACCTCTCAGAGTTGCTGACAGTCAAGAGACGGGGGTGCTAAGCTCTGTATCTGGCCTCTTGTTAGTACTCAACACATTTATCTTACTTGGAGAAACGAATCCTCCCTCCCTTAAAGCTTCCTACCAAGCTGCCCTTGACGGGGAGAGATGAGGCACCCACCCACCTCCACAGTTCTAAGCCCCTGCTCGCCCGCCACAGTAGTTACCATGACAACCGGGGACTCGCCTCCAGGTAGTCCCGTCAGCTTCCGGTAGAAGAGCTCCGCCACATCACGACCACCACTGTCCCCGCGGACTAGCCAGGTGGAAAGATAGTTAAGGAGCAGGCGACACAGACTGATCTGGGCTCGATTTCTACCCAGCTACCTATCCCGTCTTCCCGGGTCAAAGGATACAGTCTTTATAGATCAGCGGGTCCCCCTTGGAGGACAAAATGAAGAACTGGGAAATCATGATCGTTCCGGAGGTTAGACGAGAAAACGGTGAAAGTTGAACCCACCCCGCCTTGCAGACGCGGAACAAAAGGCCGCACGGAGGCTGGCGCTTTAAGAAATACTCCTCCCACACACACTCGCGAGCATTAATTTCGAACCGCGGGAAACCGGGTGCCCAACCCTCCAGCATCTGGCAATCTTCCACCGGGCCGCCCCCTCGCCCCTGTCATTCAATCTAGATTCGTCCAGTGATTGGTTAAAATTAGGGGCCGGCAGCGGTTGGGAACACCCCTCTCTGATTGGCCGGTTCTTAGCCGTATGGGTCACATGGGTGAGGACGTTTCGCGCCAATTTCGGTTGGACGGCTACATCCCGCCGCGCGCTCGTTTTCTGCTTCCCCGGAGTGCGATTTCTGAGCCCTTCGAGTCCTTCCGCACTGTCCTCCGCAGCGATGGCGCTAAAGGACTACGCGATCGAGAAAGGTAATGCTCGGGGGCTGGGGACGGCGTCCTCGGAGGGAAACTTCTCTACCTACACCTGTTGAGGGGAGCTGGAGTCTTGGGGGGAGCCGGGATCTATGATCTATGGGGACAGGCGAACTGTGCCTGGAATAAGCATGGGCATCAAGGATGGAGGGAGCAATCCTGCCTGGAAAAGGTGATGTGGTTGTGTCATGGAGAAAACCCAGTGGAGAGCACAAAGAGGGTCTGCGCTCGGGAGAGACCGGATGACGTGGAACCTTCTATACATGGCCTGAGGGACTGGACTACTGGGCCAGCCTCTGCGCCTTGGGGCGCTAGTGAATTCCCGCGTCCACCCGAGACGCGCCGGAATCCAGAGGCGGGGCTTGCCAGACCGCTACGCGCCGCGATTGGTTGTTTTCGGCCGCCCTCAAAGCGGAAGTAGAGGCGGGCGGAAGTGGCGCTACCCGATCGAGGGACAGTCGTGTGTAAACAGTGTCCTTCCGCGCGGTGGCATCGGAGATAGTTGCTGTAGGTAGGGGCGTGCCTGGAATTGGGAGGCTGGGCGCCTGGCGGCGAGAGGTGGCAGTGTGGTGGACCCGAGTGGCCCTTTGGCGTTCTGGCCAATCCCCGCACGGCCACCCGTCTCGGGCGGAGGAATCCTGGGCTGTGAGGCGGCTGGAGTCCGGGCCCATGTGCTTCTTTGTTTACTAAGAGCGGAAGCAGTGGCGGGAGTGGGGCGTGGGGTGCTGAGGAGGCCTAGTGGCAGACGTCCTGGCGGGAGCCGAAGGAAAAGAGTTGTACTCGTAGAGGCAGAGCCGAGAGTCTTTAGTCGATTGTGAGCGACCTGAGAGAATTGAAGAAACTTAGATTCCTAACTAAGAGAGTGGAATTCTCTTGTGGGAAGGTTGGGTAAGACTCTTGTAGCTGACCGAGGTTCCTCTGTAAAAACAGACTTGTGAAAGGAGCACTACCTACTTTGGGGAGAACTTGGTAGACTTGTTTTGAATGTTCATTCAACTAACTAGTTCATAGGTCCCCGTCTTAAATGAAAGCGAGTTTCTTAGGTTTCCGTTAAGAGTTTGAAATAAAGAATCCAAAAGGAAGAATGATAGTTTTTTGATTTTTTTTTTTTTTTGCTACATTATTGTGTGTGTGAGCCCGCGCGTTTGCACGGGCATATCACAGCTTACAAGTGGGTGCTGGACAAGTGGGTTCTCTTCCAACCTGTGGGTGGGCCCCAGGGATTGAACGCCGATCTGTAGGCTTGGCAGCAGTGGTCCACAAAGATTTGTTTTTTACTTTATATTTGTAGAAAAAGTTAAGAAGTTCCTGAAAGAGTTTTATTATGATGATGAGCTTGGAAAGAAGCAATTCAAATATGGGGCCCAGTTGGTAAGTCTCAGGAGATGTGTTCTGGGGAGTGGGGTGGCTTGTAAGAACTTGTATACGATGCCCTATCTTGTTATAGTAAGCGTGGCTCTCAGTGAATGACTTGATTTTGATTGTTCTTATACAAGGTTGGGGGTTTTTTTGTTTTTGCTTTCGGGTTTTCTTAGCTCTTTTAGTTGTGTGTATTCCTGTATGTTTGTGCTCAAATGGGCATGCCTTAGCATGTGTGGAGGTCAAAAAGACAATGTGTAGGAATCTGTTCTCCCACCATGTGTGTTCTGGAGAGCAAACGCAGATCACCTGGCTAGATGGCAAGTGTCTAACCTGCTGAACCATCTTCCATTCCTAGCTTTTGGGTTTTAGGGATAGTTTTTGTGTGGCACAGACCAGCATCAAGAACACCCTATATAGTTACATAGCTAAGGTTGGCTTTGAGATCCTCGTTCTGTTGGCTTTCAAATCCTAAATATTGGGATTATAAACACCTACCACGGTGATGGACTGTGTTCTGTTCTTTTCCCCTCTGGAGGTAGGTCAGTGACGTAGAAGAGCTTTTGTGGGTGAGGTGAACTGGACCCTAAAGTGTTGCTGTCTTTTCCTTACCTCAGGTTCATCTGGCTCATCGGGAACAAGTGGCACTGTACGTGGACCTAGATGATGTGACTGAAGATGACCCTGAGTTGGTCGACTCAATCTGCGAGAACGCCAAGCGCTACTCAAAGCTGTTTGCTGATGTTGTGCAGGAGCTTCTGCCTGAGTACAAGGAGAAGGAGGTGGTGGCTGGTTTCTGAGCTCTTCTGCCTGGTGCCCTCTGTTTTCCTTTCTGTCCTAGCCCTCATGCTTCCTCTCTTCTTTTTAGGTGGTGAATAAGGATGTCCTGGATGTTTACATTGAACACCGGTTGATGATGGAACAGCGAAGCAGAGACCCTGGGGCAGCCCGGAACCCCCAAAACCAGTATCCCTCTGAGCTCATGCGTAGATTGTGAGTATCTTTGTGGGAAAAGGCAGGGCCTTGCTCTGGACCTTGCTGATAAGTGTTTCTTTCTCTTAGTGAGTTGTATTTCCAAGGCCCAAGTAGCAGTAAGCCTCGAGTGATCCGGGAAGTACGAGCTGATTCTGTGGGGAAATTGTTAACTGTACGTGGGATTGTCACTCGTGTGTCTGAAGTCAAGCCCAGGATGGTGGTGGCCACATACACTTGCGATCAGTGTGGGGCAGAGACCTACCAACCAGTAAGTATACAGTAGGAAAAGGAAAATCTCTGTCCTTGAAGTAAATAATCCATTCCACTGATTACAATCTTGTTTTCTCCCAGACTTTTGCAAAGATTGTTTTCGGTATTGTTTTTTAATTCTTTTGATCTCTGGTTGTTTTGAGAAAATTTCAAGGGGATCCTAATACTTTCAAAATGTCTTGACAGAGAACAGAAATGATTCCTGTGGTGATTGTAAGACTTGATTTCCGGTTTCCTTTCTTGTTTCTAGATCCAGTCTCCCACCTTCATGCCTCTGATCATGTGCCCCAGCCAGGAGTGCCAAACCAACCGCTCAGGGGGGCGGCTGTACCTACAGACTCGCGGCTCCAAATTTATTAAATTCCAGGAAATGAAGATTCAAGAACATGTGAGTTTGGGGGTTATGAGTCCTGCAGCTGGTTATGAAACTGCAGGAAGAAAGATTTGGAAAGAGATTTACCTACAATTTTTTTTTATATTTGCTCTTAATCAGAAAATGTTTAATTGAATTTCTGGTTGTGTTGGGATTAGGGTAAGAACTCAGCTTCCTTCCTGAAGTCTTCCAGGTTGGGCTGGCTGAGTCTTACATAAAATAGACATCTTCCAGGGTGATGGTCAGTTGGATCAGGTCTCTGCCTCATTTTTCTCCTGTGTTCTGTCTTGCCCTCCTCCTACCCCTCAATCTCTTAGAGTGACCAAGTTCCTGTGGGAAACATCCCTCGTAGCATCACAGTGGTTCTAGAAGGAGAGAATACGAGAATTGCCCAGCCTGGTGATCATGTCAGCGTCACTGGTATCTTCTTGCCAGTCCTGCGCACAGGTTTCCAACAGATGGCACAGGTGAGGGTGTTTTGAAATGAGGAAATAGCTACCTTTTACACCTCATCCACCAACTCGATCTACACCCTCAGAAAAGTAAAACCAGTAAGATGGAACTTGTGGTTAAACAATTCTCAAGGAATCTGGTGATGAGGAATTTAAAAGGAATGCATCTGTATACTGGTATTCTTCTGCTCAGGGTTTACTCTCAGAAACTTACCTGGAAGCCCACCGGATTGTGAAGATGACGAAGAGTGAGGATGATGTCTCTGGGGCCGGAGAGCTAAGCACAGAGGAGCTGAAACAGATTGCAGGTGAGAGAGGCCATGAGCTCAAGTTGATAGTTGACTTCTCATCCTAGCTTTTGTCCTGAAGAAAATGCTATGGCTTAATTTTTTTGTAGAGGAAGATTTCTATGAAAAGCTAGCTGCTTCTATTGCTCCGGAGATCTACGGTCATGAAGATGTGAAGAAAGCACTGTTACTGCTCCTGGTGGGTGGTGTGGACCAGTCTCCTCAAGGCATGAAGATAAGAGGTAAAAAGAACAAGTCTTAGGACAGCAGAATTCTTCAAGAGGGTGAAAAAGTATCCCATGAATCCATGACAACTTAAGGGGACATAGTGTGGACTTTGGGAAGGGAACCAGATCTCAAGTGCTCGTCCCTGTTGGTAGACAATTTGAGTAGAGAGTGTCACTCAGTCTTCCTTCTCATTTGCTAGGAAACATCCACATCTGCCTTATGGGAGATCCCGGTGTGGCCAAATCTCAGCTCCTGTCTTACATCGACCGCCTGGCGCCCCGAAGTGAGTATGGGCAGGCATGGGACTTGGTATTTGGTTAAAAACTAAGGCCTCTGGAAGCAGTTCCTTCAGCAGTTTGCTGTTTCTCTTTGCAGGTCAGTACACAACAGGCCGGGGCTCCTCTGGTGTAGGGCTCACAGCAGCTGTGTTGAGAGACCCTGTGAGTGGGGAACTGACCTTAGAGGGTGGTGCCCTGGTGCTGGCTGACCAGGGCGTGTGCTGCATTGATGAGTTTGACAAGATGGCTGAAGCTGACCGCACAGCCATCCATGAGGTTATGGAGCAGCAGACCATCTCCATTGCCAAGGCAGGAATTCTCACCACACTCAATGCCCGATGCTCTATCCTGGCTGCTGCCAACCCTGCCTATGGACGGTATAACCCCCGCCGTAGTTTGGAGCAGAACATACAGCTTCCTGCTGCCCTGCTTTCTCGATTCGACCTCCTCTGGCTGATTCAAGACCGGCCCGAC